GGATGGATAGCTGCTGTGCATAAACTCTGTCAAAATGGCCATATAAAGAAAAGCACTTTCTTTCTAGTGTAAATGCATAATTTCCAGTTCTAGATTAATTTAATTACTTTTATATCCAACACTTGACCCAATTACCTTATTAATGCACACACAGCTCGCTCGCTCTCAACCTCTGAGTAACATTACAAAGACAAGACTAAGAAATATTTGGTGACATTTGAACAGCACAGCAAAGGTTAGAACTAAATAGTATTTTAATGACACTCACAGAATGCCAGCCAAGTCTCTTGGACTTCTAGATAACTCTGGAAATTTGTGGTGAATCCAATTGTAGTGATGGTAGCAGAGTTTTGTTTGTAGTTTTTATATTCCCAGGCGCAGTGCCATATTCCTGAAAAAAGAAAAAAAGAAAAAAATCATTTTGTTTTTTTAACTTCACTTTGTATTTCAAGAGATAAAATAACTAGGTCCTCTTTATGTCCAGACATCACTGCACCTCTGTGTGCCTGATTTAAAAACTATTCCAGGTGAGTATTTACCATAAGCTCCAGCGGCCAACACTCCAAAGATGAGGACCCACACCATGACTGGAGCGGTAAACCTCAACAGCAACAGGAACAACAGACTGACAAGCATGGCTATCACCAAACCACTGAGACAGGACAGGATGGAGGGACAGTTAGGACATTTATAAGAGATTAAAGCAACGATTTTAAGGTAAAAGGAAAGCCGTGAGAAAGATGTAAACTATATTAAGAACACATATCCAACTTAATGTAATCTCATACAAAGCCTTTGCCACAACTTCTACTGGTACCATTTACTTTTTTGCTGACACTGTCAATAAGGTAATATTTTATATTTGCTCCTGAAGCAATTGTGAGGGCAGTAGTGTATTTGCAATACACTGAAATCATTAACCTACATGACAAAAAGAAAATGCATAGATTATGTAAAAGCAGAATTCATGTCACGTTTCTTATTGAATTGAATTACACTGTGCAGGTGTTCCCCGTGAAGAGGATGTAAGTGTATGCTGATAACCACATGCTTTAAACAATAACTTGGTACCTTTTTGATAGCAAACAGATCATCTGAACTCACTGACAAGTATATTAATATACAGTACTCATATATTTTTATGTTAAACAGAATAAATGCCAGTGATTGTATTCTGTTCTTATTAAGATAGAGCACCTGATACAGCATTTCAGATATTAAGTTGACACTACTACTTTGTGTTATGGCTTATTCGATATCATCAAAACTTCATTACAAAATCTGACTTCTATCTGTACATCAGCAGGTGGCAGTGTGCAATGCTGGTTCAGCAGGGAAACTCACAGGATGATCCACGGCCATGACGACGCAAAATCTGCAAAGATTCGGGTGGCGATGTCCTTAGCGTTAAAGCTGTTGATAATGCCCCTAACGAAGACAAAACAGGACAAGATGTGATGGTGGCACTTTTGCTTTTAAATAGTAAAAAGTCATCATCAGATAAAACAAATAATACAAATGAAAAAAAACCAAAAAAACAAAACAACGAACAACAGCATTTAAAACCCATTTCTAAAAGTGGTATGGGGGTAATTAAAAGGTGGGTGAAAAGATCATCATGCAGCCAACAGTGACCATTTTTATATAATTATGTTCTACATGTCTAATGTGACACTAATAAAGCTGGGAAGTCATAGAAACCAGAAATAACCCAAGATATTCAGCATAGGCAGACAGAGAGTGTAAGACAACTACTCATTAATGCTTTAGGGCTGCAAATCCCAAGACAGTGTGTCACATGAAATCTAAGGCCGCTGTGTATAAGTGAGTTAAACGCAACAACAAGAGCAACTAGAACTAGCTGCTACGCTACGGCTCAACAGAGACTCACAAAACCACCAACCCTGTGCTGTTGATAAGGAGGAAAAAGACACAAGATTATTAAAGTCTGTGGGTTCATTTAGATTTATAGTCATCTTGATAATGTCTCTTACCCAGTGCCATTTTTGATGAGGGCAACAGTGTCATTCACTGAGGTGGGCAAGCCTGGAACATTTGCAAAGTCTGAAGGTATGTTCCCCAAGGCTGTGATATCAGGAAAACATCTCCCCAGCACTAACCACACAGAACAAAAAAGGAAAATAAAATTAGCCATAAATATGGAGTTAGAATGTTTTTTAGATCTCTATACATAAGGTACTGTAATGTGTATTGAACATACAAGGAAATTTAAATGAAAGCAGTAATGTGAATTTGTTACTGACCAGGGGTTGTAGGTATGAGCATGAAAGGACACCGCTCCTTTTGTACAATCTCACTAACACTCTGAAAAACATGTTTAACAATCAAGTTTTGGCCAAAAATAAATACTGTATACATAGAATACATAAAAATAGAGACAGCCACCAGTGCTAGCCCTGCCTCCTAGACTGCAGCTATGGTATAAATCTGAAACCTCTACGCAACATCTTCTATGAGTTAATGCAAGTTATTTTAAGATTTTCTGACACTGACTTTGAGGTCAAGGTCACCGAGATTTGAACTCGTCCAAGATTTTTAATAGATCTGATTTCCTAGGATATTGTACAAAAAACATGACCTCTGACCTTGACTTTAAGCAGCGAGGTCACTAATATTCAAACTTTACTGAGATTTGAAAATCAAATTGAAAGTCTCAAGTTTCCCTGTTCTCGAGTTATGATCTTCACAAAGTTGGCTGTTCACGCCGCCAGCCCAGTAGCGTGACAAGAATACTTTCTTTTAAACACCGTTTGTAGCTTACCAAGTTAGCATTGTTGAGGTTAAGAGATGGCACGCAGTAATTTGGATTGAAAACCTTTGCAGGATTTTCACCTGGAAGGTACGACTGTATCTTCACGGCCCAGAAGTCAGAGGGACATTCTTTCACACACACCTATGGGTAATGAAAAAAATAGGAATATTTATGCAGCACAGAGAGGAAAGTAAAGAGTTTGAACAGGAACAGCAAATTGCAGTAGCTGTGTGTACCTGTGTGGTTGGACACTGGAAACCATTGAGAACATTTGCCATCACATTGACAGACATTGCACATTTGAGAATGTCAAAGTAAAGCAAGTTGGGTCGGTCTCTGAAAGACATGAATAAAGTTTTTATTTCATATTATATTATTAAGTGTGTATATATTTTCTATATTTAAATAAAATGACTCTAAACAATGGTTAAATTACTTATTTGGCCCAACTCCACAGAACCAGCCAGTTGAGTTTCTTGCATAAAGAACATCTCTTGGATCTCCATAGATCCAAGCTGACAAAGGGAAAAAAAGAACAAATTAATACTCAGAAAGAAACTAAAAGCCAATCATGTAAATGTTTGACCTAATTCCATCTTGCTCAATGTGTTGCTTGCATTTCATATGAACAGACTACACGAGGGTGTGTTTTTAATTCAAACACTCAGCATTTGCTGCCTTCTCCAGTGTGGTCTTTGGTCAGAGAGATGTGAAAATGGTTGCTAAAATATTTATTGAGGTGGGAAACAGATTGTGGTGTGAATTCAGTAACACATTAATATTGTGACAAAAGCAGTCCAGTAATAACTTTTATATTGTGTACTTATATGAGAAGCAATATTATGACTACATTTTGGTATCAATTCACAGAACTTGGTGCATTACTTTTTTATTATTATTTATTTATTTATTTATTTTTAAATCAAACAAGCATCAAAATTGACAACAGGATGCAGTTTTTGAGTTTGTTTTCCCATATGGGGCTTCTTTTAATACACATATTTAAGCTGCTGCATACAAAACACACCTAAATCAATGTATTTTTTATTTTATTTTTTTATATAATGCATGTAGCCATAAACTAGGACCCATGCTACATCTGGCAAATGTTCAGTTATCATTGATTTTCATGTTAAGCAGTGGAACATTTTGCTAAACCTGGAGAGCAGATTTCTCCCACTATAAATCCACCCTTGTGTGCAGTGCTTTTAATAATCTCAATGGAGGAAATAGATTTGGGAAATACTAGCCATTGAACACACAAATAAGGTCACTTCATGACCCATCAGGCCGCTGTGTTTGCTCTAGATAACAGATGGCCCTGAGTGTTGGAATGAGTTTGATGACAGAGCAATAAACTGACTGGAACTATATGAAAAACATAGCTGTTCATAGTAACAATAGAAACTAAACAACTGAAAGAAAGAACAAGTGTAATCCTTTACATCATGTAATCTACTTGGCATTTATAAATCAAGAGCTGTAAATCTCTGCCATTAAATGAATCTTCTGGTTTGACAAGAGGGAGAAACAGTTAACAGGTTACATATTGTTATAGCCTGCTGGATAGAGGCAGGCTTGCTCTTCCACCCTACCTAGTTCTTTATATCAACTACATAGTAGCTTCATACGAAAAAGACGGACACATGACTAATGTCGATCTTTCGATCACACTTTGCTTATCAAAAAGTATGTTTGTTAAAGTGCAGCAGTGAGTATGAAGTGAAAAACATAAGAACATATGAAAACACAGTTGGGCACATAATGCCTGTGCTGGCAGGGTTGGGTTTCTCTTACCTAAAACTCCAACTACTATGTAGCCGATGATGACCAGCAGGAAGAGAATACAGCAGATTATATCTGTACACCCTCTGTGTAAAAAAAAGAAAAGAAAAAGAAAGTGAGATAGTATTAAGTAAAGTGAACAGGGTAAGCTTTGCATGGGTTTTTGATTTTGTTAAATGTGTCTTCGTTAAATGGGATAAATGTGTCTTCCTAGGCTAACAGAAAACACACACACACACACACACACACACACACACACACACACACACA